AGGAATTCAATGTAAGTTAATATAATGTCTTCTGAGGTCATAGAGACTCATGTGTGTGGGTGTGTGGGTGTGTGTGTGTGTGTGTGTGTGTGTGAATTTGGAATAATGTATTGTGCTAAAATTGTAAACTTAGGGATAAACATTTCAGAAATATTTACAGAAGGGTGATCAAGAGGAGACATTTGAAGCTTGAAAGACAAGACAACAGAAGCTGAGGAGGCACAGGCGCCATCTTCAGGGAGCGAAGTTTTTTATTTTATTGGTCAAAGATTCAAAATCTGGCAAAAGTCTATGTAGCATCAGGGAAAATACAGTAAGCATTTAGGTCAGGCATTTGAAAATTATTTGAATTAAAAGTGAAGGTCACAAAACAACTGTCTACATATGCATCAATGGTAAAATTAAACAATACTTTCAAAGCCTTATTAAATGCATCTAGTTCAAATTATGCAGTAGGTCTGTCAAATTAGGTTGCTGCTTATAGTCATATTGTGGTAAAAATATTGATGCTGAAAATAAAATCATACATGTTAGTTAACATGAAACTGGTTTAAATTCACACTACAGTCACACTGCAAGCCTTAGTGCTCAATTCTTTATTTTTCTCTAGATCCGTTTGTTTATGTTGCTGTTCACATTATCTGGTAAAATGTGGCCAGTATCAGACTCCAATGTGAAGTGTCATGGCCCTGATGTGACCCTGACTCGGGCGTATTGGGCCCACTGTGTGAATATGGTGTTTTGTGTAGGTAGTGAAGTAGTAAACACATTTTCACAGATATTTTGAGAAACGGCCACTTTGCATTTGTTTATTTAAAAAAAGAAAAAGAAAATACTAGACATATTTTAATGAAGGAACCACCATTCACTGTTCAACAGTAGCCCAGTGTAGTTAACCAATATATCAATACACTCACATCAGCTAAGAAAGGTGAAATGCACAGTCTAGTTGGAAATATATTACAAAACACAAATTATTTAAAACCACAACATTAGAATTTCTGGTTTCCAAGCACCAAAAAAGAAAAAGTCATTGAGATTCCAACTAAGTACAAACAAAAAGGCACTTTATGTTTCTGCAAATTGACTACTCGAATAGGAGAACGCTTAAAATGACCAATTTCTTCCTTCTAGTGTACAAACACTGACCAGTATATGAAAAACAAAGTAAAAATATTCTCTCATAAAAGCCATCAAACGATACAAAACAATTTGTAGATGTAAAAGTTTTTAAAAACAGTGTATTAGTATTAATAGTGCAGTATCACATGATGATGTGTAGTCCGTCGGAATGCCTATTCTACAATGTGACATGCATAGTGTACGTTAGCAACAATATATTGGACTGCTGTGGTTAGGCAGACTGTAGCTGATGTAAAAGTCAAAAGCATAGAGATGTAAGCACATTCTGCAGTTTGCATGCTCAGGAGAATCAGGGAGAAGACATGAGGGCACCACATCTGAAATGAGGACATACTGCAGTGTTATAAAGACGTATAACTCGTGTAATGACTGAGCTGATAACATTTGTTATATGTAATGAAGAGAAAGAAACTGCTCAAATCAGGATCAGGATGAATTTCAGACATTCTCCTGGAGAGACTGTGATCTGCCTCTGGAGTGTTCAGGTAGCAGAATGTTTTTGCAGCATGTTCGATAGCTATGCTTTGGTGTACAGACTGAAATCTTAACAGCAAGTTCTTAGATTACCCTTAGCAAGATAACCAAAACATTGAAGTTGCAGTTTGAATGGAAGGTTTCTTTTATTTTAGCTTCTCTTATAAGAGAAGTTGCACAACTTTGACATTGCATCAGTTATACTGCTATTCAGGTCTGACCAAGCAAGTGAGTCAAGTCTAGACTGGTAGACAAGTGTTATTTCCATAAGTTAATACGTTCTTTATATTAACTAACTACAGAGTTTGGTTAGTTTTGAGTCTGATTTGATTCTTTACTTTACCATAGTTTTACTTAAGCTCTCCAATGAGCACCTGATACTGTGAACAAGAATTTTGGTTTCCACAACCTGATAATGTCTAATATATCCATTTACTTTACATGTTTAGAACAACATCAAATAATTCTGCTTTTGCAAATGAAAATTAATTTTGCATTTTCTTTCTTTCCAAGAAAACCAGCAGCAAGTATAAGCAAATTGTAATTGTGTCAAAATCTTAAATACGCGTACTTACACGAAACTTCCACAACAATTCCAATGTGCTCCCATGTGGACTTTTTATGATCTGTAACACCAAACGTTTCTACCAGCACTTTTTATTGAGTGGTTTCATCCTTTCATGAGAACAAGGCACTGGCAGTTTAAAAAAGCAGAATAGTGGGGAACACACCCTCGGATCAGCCCCTGAAAGTGTTTGTCATGCTGTCTGTAAAGAGTTTGTGCGAACTCATACAGCTCTGAGGAGTGTTTTAATGTTATAAGGGGATGTATTGCAATGTTCAATCCCCAAGAACAGTTAAAGTAAGAGGTAATGCAGTGGTTATACTCTTTTGAGGTTAAACATTTTTGAATAATACCAGTAAAAACGTCTCCAGAGTACTGCAAAAGGTGGAAAAGGTCACGAGATATCATACAGTCATCATCTGAGGGTTTCTCTAAGGCATGTCCCAGACTTATGAAGGAGGTCCCTCATATAATGCTCAGAGAATATTTCTATTATGTAAGGCCATCTCATTAATAGCCACTTCAGTTTAACCTCATAAGCATAGCTGTTAATAGAGCTTTTTTGTTTTTCACATTGCTGTACTCTCTTAATATACAAAACGTCAAAAGATAAATATTGTCTCACACACTTAAATCCCTCGCTTGGTCCTCTACATGTTCATATATTATCGCTTAAATGTCTAGAGCTCGTATCAAGTCTTTTCTTTAAATCTCAGTGTAAAATGTTCACGTTTTTGGTCTTTGAGACGAACAGGGCAGATCAGTGAGTTTAACCCTGCTCCAGACTCTCTGTCACTTGCACAGCGGAGTACGTGGCTGCAGACGCCTGTCGAGTGAAGAAGGACGCAGCTCTTTTTGGCTTCAAGCGTTTGATTTCTTTTCCTGAAAGACAAACATGGACAAATATTGAATAATTCCTCCAGCTGAAGTCACCACAGAGAGATTGTCATGGTTTAGAAGTAGAAGTAGCTACTACTAAATGCAACCATTAGACTCACCAGTGTCCACATAGCTGATAGTGTTGAGCGAATGGACCCGACTGCACACAACACTGTTTTGCCTGTGTAGCATCCCACGCCGCCCTCCACGTCCGTTCTTGTTGCTGCCATCTTGTCCCGCTTGTTGCGGAGACTGACTCACCTCGCCGTCCATTTCAGCTGCAGCTGCACCCTCAGACGCAGACTTCAGCTCCACGCAGAACTCGATGAAGCCGCTCATCAGCTCTGCCTGGTTCCAGACAAAAAAACAAAAACAAATCATTAAGTCTGATTCTAAGAGGTAGATGCACTACACAGCTGCACTTAGGCTTCTTGATGGTCCGTTTATGGCCTGAGCCACAGGCATACAAATGTCACATTGGCAGCCTCGGATTAGGGCCAAGTGTGATTATTTATGACTGCCTCCACCATTATGTAACATCTCTTCAGCATCTGTTGGCTCAGACAGTCTTTTTCATTCATTCAATCATTGACCAGGGATTATATAGAAAAGAGAACAGAAAATTGTTTGATCTCTTTTTTGGTTTCAACCCAGTTTCAAGTGTTATGCTTCTCTAAGAACAAATGGGCACAGCAGCTGCACCTGATGCTCAAAGTCTTAAAAACACCAGGTGCAGGGTTCTCTTCAGAGATCGCTGCATATTCCCTCTACTTGTTGAAAACATTTGAAGTGAAGCACGCATAAGAGGACTGCATCTGTCCCCCTACCCAGCAGCAAGACCATTTAAAATTGATGTTTAAAATACGGCACAGAAGGTGGAGGTCAGGACAGGTGTGACCCAAAAAAGAAAAAAACAACTCCAACATGTAAATGAGCTACTGTACAGATGTTAAATAAAATCATGTCTAGGGATGAAACAGTTTCCTGTTTTATGGTACACCGTGGTTAAATTCCTGACAGTTTGTTGAACTGTTTCAATCTTAAATTACTTTAATTACAATGGTTGGTGCTGTAAAAGCATGAGCTGCTAGTGATCTGGATGTAGCTTGCAACTGCTAGCATCCACTGTCTCCAAATTGCTTGAATTTAACGAACGCTGATATTTTGTACTATCAAACATTTGCAGTTCTGCATTTAAAAAAATGTCTTGTCCACTCTTCTAGTTTTGTGTTATTTTATCAGATTTGTTTACATGTGGTTGTATTGTTCTTACATGCACATACTTTGTTCATGAGTGTGTTTCCATTCACTTTTTGCATGTACTTATTTAAGGTGTCATTTGGGCCTTCATTCAGTTTGTATATCAGCTCATTTTAAAAATACTGCGTTAATACTGATGAATCAGTGTTAAATCCTCACTCCATTTCATATCAGATGATTTCTGAATTTCCTTTCACTACCACTGTCTTACTTGTTTTGAATAGATCTTTAGCAGTTTGTTGACTGGAGTTCCGTCTTCCTCTCCATCAAACTCCAGCCACAGAATGTGTGAGTCCCCCTCCTCCTCTGGGTAGCTGTGGTCCCACGAGAGCTGGCTGAAACGCAGGCCGAGCAGAACATGCTACAAGAAAACATGAAGAGATATCAGCATTGGTTTCATGAGGAGAAATGTGAAATACTTTCCACATTTCTGCAGCGTGCACAATGGTTATTCAAGTTAGCATACTGCCGTTTTTTTACCAAGCTGTTCAAAGAAAACTTCAGTGCTCACCTTCTCTTTGACATCCATCACATAAACCCCCTCCAGGCAAATCCCAACATTGACAGCTTTGCGCTTTCCCCTTTGGAGGATCCCTTGCGCTGGTTTGTCAATCTCACCAAAGAAGAAACCACACCTGTTTTTGCAGGTTGAAAAATGAGAACATATTTATCATTGCCTTTGAGTTTTGAGTAGAAAGAGCAGCAATGGCTCGTTACAAAAATTCTTACCCATAATAAGGCAGAGTGTGACATGTGTTGAGGTACTGGTGTAGGAGCTGTGTGGGCTCAGGAGGGTTTGCAGCAGATGTGCAGATCTTTTTGTACTCCTCCAACAGGTTCTGCTCCAACCCTGCCAGACGACTCGACTTCCCTCTCAGAGTGGAGAGTAAACCTCCGCTCCCCATGGTGACGTGTGCAGGCAGATAAGAGGACAGCTTCTTCTCCCTGTGGAATGTGGAAAATTTGTATTAGAAATTTCGTGCATCTTATCTGTGGAAATCTGGTCTCAATATTATATTCAATCAATAATTCATTTTCTAACATTTCCTGCTTATTGCCATGTTGTCATTTGCTTCTGTCGTGTCCTCATGATAAACAGGAAGCAGAATGCAACACTCAATCTTGTGCCAGAGTGACTGTGCATTCCAATAGATTTCTCTATTGTCTGATTTCCTCATTCACAAGCATCACAAATCTTAAATGCTACAGATTTTTTCCACTCCTGAATCACCATGTTGACATATATTAATAAGTAAACATAAATTACATACATATTTTAATTCCATGCTCCTTTCACTTAAATGTTGTGTTTGATTAAAGAGGAAGCCCACAACCAAACACATGTCTCACAATATTATTAACTCCTCTCCTCAGTTACTACCACTCAGATGCTGACGTATGGATTTCGCAAAGTGGAACAGATTCTGTTCTTCAGCGTAATAAAGACAGCAACTAATAAATACCTAGAGATGCTCTGAAAGGAACTTCTGGGTCAAAATCTACAACAAGTTATTATAACACAAGGAATGATTCACTCTGTAGATGTCAAGGTTATCTGATCTGGCTCCATTTAGGGTGTTGAACATCATGTAATCTATGTGTACTTCAAAAAGTGTTCAATGTGCACAAGTAAATGAAAGAAAACAAGACAGAATCTTTTTGATTTTAGGATAAAGCACTAATATTTCTTTTGATGCAGCTCAGACCAAATTTACCTACACCTATTTTTCTTTAATGATGATTTAACAACAAATAAAGTAATACTGTGAGAAATAAACACCACTGACACAAACTACGATGTTTGATGTTAGAACACTGCATACACACAAGAGACTTCCTCAAAAATATCTATTCACTTATCTGTTACTAAAAGCAGGCATCCTGCGACGTGTGTTGTAAGTACCTAAAACAAGAACGGTGACTACACTACTTTAAAATGTCTCTATTATATGTACAGAGTTTTATAATACTTGTCAAGTACCTTCTGTGTAATTCTGAATCAAGCCTTTTGAGACTTGATTCAGAATTACACAGAAGGTACTTGACAAGTATTATAAAACAAAACAAAAAACAATGATCATCCCACTCTAATCAAAACTGTTGACCTCTTGATATTCAATGAATGAATGTTCATCAACTACCAACAATCTGTTCTTGATTGCGCTGACGCACTCAAAGCTGTGAAATCAACCAACTGCCAATTATATGTCAGTTTAAGGACATGATTTTGTTTTGTTCTTTTTACAATGTCTTCAAATTATGAAGGAGTGTGAACAAAAAAACATGTTCAATCTGGATAAAACTAGTAAGCTTTGAGGTGGTGGTAAGTACATTTTGTTACATTTGGACAAAGCCAGACTAACAGTCATCCCTTACTTTAGTCTTTATGTGAACTAAGCTACTGTGAACTGCACATCCATCTCCAGGCTGTAGCCTTATATCGAGAAAACTAAGAGTCAACAGTTGGACCATCAATAGAAAACAAAAATTCAGGCAATTCAGAATATAATCATATTTTTCAAACAATCTTTCTCACTCACCTTACAGTAGCAGTAAACTGTTGGCCGTCTAGACCAGTTCCCTCTTCAAGAGCAAGAGACAAGGCTCCAAGACTCATCCAGTGCTCGGGATCACAGGGGTATCGACCTGAGAGGATGTTGTTCCTGGCCTCTTCGTACAAAAGTTTCAAGACTACCTCATCATTGATCTGCTCAGGAGGGACACATCACGAAAATTATCCAACAGTTACTGTATCAGGACAGGCAGTTTCTTTTATCTTAAAACATTGAAATTGCCTCTAATGATCTACTCAGATGATTAAATAATTAGTTTTATTTGCTGCCTCATGTGAAGCACTTTGTTAATTTGGGTTTTGTTGAGTACTGATAAATTATAAAACAGAACAAAACATCATTACCCTACTGAAGAAGATGAAATGGCAGTTCTAATTTACAAGAAAACCCATTCTGATTACTGCACTAATGACTCTCAGACGATTACCAATTATCTTTATTAAAGTCAACTTATAATTTTAAGAGTCAAAAGTTTTGGTAAAATTGTACTCTTCGTACAAAATGATGGAAAACGGTGTCATCTCAATTTGCTCATATCTAAGATTAATCAATATTCAGGATTGGAGTCAGTGGTACCTGCAGCTCTCTTGGTTTAGGATAAAACACATTCCGTCTGTATTGGAGATACGGCTCATCTGAGGAAAAAGCAGAGAACAATAATGCATTATAGTTCCATGTGTTTCCATATCATGCAAATGTGTGAAATTCAGTCTCATCGCTCGGAGTGGAGGAGTGAGGGTATGGAGACAAACACTGCAGTAAATCAGGGGCTAACATCAAATCTGGTTCTAAAGCCCCCTCCAACCCACTCTGCACTGACTAACAGTTCTGCACTGTGCGTGGGTGGTATCCCTACCTACTCCACAAAAACACATAACAGCATTTAAATGATTATGCAAGGCATTTGTTCTCTTTTTTGTTTGATTAGTGCTAAGCTGTCACTTTGTCACCAGTTCTTTGGTAACACTGGACGAAAAGCACACAACGTGGTGGGCTGTTCCGCTTTGTCTGGCAAAGTAATGAGCAACAACAACAGACTTTCACTTCACCAAAAGTCCACTGTGGGGGACAATTTTGATTATTTGAGAATTAGTGCACTAAACAACAGTTTCAGTTTGTAAAAAATAAAAATAAAACCTCAGCTCAGTCTTGTCCCAGTTAATGTGACATAACGTTGTATTCTCTACCTCATTCAGCAAATAGACTTCCATGCTTTGATTTGAGAAAACATTAAAGGTTGGTGCATTAAACAAACATATGCTGACCATCTCTCACCTTGTGAAATGTCTTCCTGTGAGGCCTCAGTGAAGCGATACAGCAGGTCTTGCCACTGCCGACACAGCTTGTATGGTTGATGTCTCACTTTTAACTGCAATTCTTAAGAGTAAGGAAGAGATCAAATGTGATACACAGATACTTTATGCATGTTTCCCTGATTTGATTCTAGCGTGATATTTAAACCACTTTCCATTCCAGGGAAGTTTGAATTTTGTAACCCACAGTAAATCAAGCCTGTATCATTTAAGCAACTTAATAAGACAGAAGCATCCACATACACATCAACATTCTCATAATGTCAATGCCTATAATTTGATCAGAAGAGAATTGTAGCAGTGGAGTGTGTGGGGGGGCTAAAGGTCTTACCGAGCAGTGGAGAACATAACCAGAAGGCAAAAGCATCATGTGCAGACTCAGGAATATTGAGAGCCTCATGAACACTTCGGCCCAGCTCCTGCACAGTGACACTGCCGAGCCCTTCTACAGATAAGTGGACTGCACTCTCACCAAACAGGTATATGAGCACATCTTGAGCTGTGTGAACAATCACAAATATATCAAATTAAATAAAAAATACATAAAAACAAAGGGGTCATTGTTACATATTATATAATTTGCTCCACCGTACCCCGGGAAAGAGTTGCTGAAGAAGCAACGCTTCCTCTTTGTGACAGATCATCTGATGAATCTGGAGGAAAACTGCAGTCATCCCCTTCCATCTCTACTCTGAAACACAAAGACCAAACTCAAAATCTGTCACAACACAATATCAACTTACAACAGGTTCTAAAACATAGCCTGAAAACGCATCTGAGCCTGGACCAGAGGGGGCATCAATGTACGAGATGGAATACAACACAAAACTTCAGGATTTCTACACACGGTTTGAATCTCAGTTCAGCCGGGGGCTTTCTGTGTAGTTTGCTTTCTTCCTGTGTCTGCGTGGGATTTCTCCAAGTTCCTCCCACAGTCACGCAGACTGGGGGAAGTTAATGGGAGACAAAAAATGGCCGTAGCTGTGAACTGGAGTGTGAACGGTTGTTTGTCTCTGTTGGTTTATACACTAGTGACCTTTCCAGGATGTAGTTCACCGCCTCTCGCCCATTGTCAGCTGGGATTGGCTCCAGCTCCCCCACAATCCTCGAGAGGATCCACATTAGAGATGATGGCTGGACTTGATCTCTTCAAATCCAAGTCATCTGTGTACAGCTGGCCCGAGCAGTGTCTAGCCAATAAGGTGTACGTGCTTACAAGCCTCATGCTAACGTGGTTACATGCAAATACTTCTGCTTTAGTGTCATATACTTTAAAAAGACCCTTGCCTCAGAGAGAAGACTAGACAGATATGAGCAACATGAAGGGTCGGCGTCTCTCGCTGCCATACCCGACATCATCCATTTCCTGTCATTTTCAGTAAACAAGCAATCAGGCTAATGTAGGTGTCACACTGCACCAGCGCCACCATGTGGTATTAGACTTGAAAACAACCAGCGCAATCAGAACATCCCAGTCGACCTCACCCTGTTGAACTGGAGCGAACGTTTGGCCCCAACATGTCTCTGTTGCTTTGTGTTTTATGTTAGCATGGCTCCGAGCATCGACATTACAGCCTGGGTGGTGGTAAACACAGAGAGAAGACCCCAGCGGCACGAGGCCTGAGCTGCACACATTTCCACACATTGTCCAGCACAAGTCCAAACACTGGCTGAGACATTCTGTGGATCTACTCAACGCCACTTCACTTCGTTTTGTTAGCTTTAGCTAAGTTAGCTTGAAGGCAGGGGAAGCAGCCGTGCTAGCTGTTGACGCTAAAAGACTTTACTCCGCTACTTTCAGACCTGGTGAAACATTTCAGTCCAACGTTGATAAGTCCCACAAGTAAGCTAACTTTCAGTATTTTAGCCACCGGGCTGACACACACGCTGTTATGAGCAGCTAAAGGGAGAACATGTCTCTGTTGTCCGTCCACCGACCTGCCACTTCCCGTCAATTTCCCTCCACTCGCGGCTGCTTATCCTGGATACGATCCCAGCAGTTGTTTCCCCGGTGCAGCTACAGACACTAGCCACTGACGGAGACCTCCCAGCTGACTGACACTAGCTTTCCGGGCAGCAGCGAGGGCGACGCACGAACGACCCTGTTGTTGTGAACGATTCTTCCCTGGGTGTCAGGTGACAGCCACCGTGAAGGGTTGAAACTCCTCCACTACTGAAGCACTCGAGCAGGAAGCAGCTGTGACCTGATGTGAGAGCGAGGGGATCGATGGTGGCTGTTGAAAACACGTTAGTGACAGCGTGAGTCCGTCACAGCGCCTTCTCACGGAGCCGGTTCAAAAAGATTCGATCCCGGAATCAGGCTGAACGTCCGGAGAGCGCGCTGACGTAGCGTCACGTGACCAAAACGTCTTCCCATGTTCAGAGAAGATTAGTGTTTATCTGCTGCATATAAAAAACTAT